GCGATGCCGGCGCGACCCCGCGCCCCCAGCTGCTCGGCCCCCGGCCGGGAGGCCCGCGGCAGCGGGGGCAGGAGCAGGGCGGGGAGGAGCGGGGGCGGGAGAGTCGGGCCGAACGAAAGGGGGGGATAGGGAAAGGGGGGGTTACGAAATCTGCTGCATGCAGCTGGTTTCAGCCCCGCCGCCGGGCCCATTCCTCGATACATGGGCGCCTCCGGCGCCAGGAGGCGCCAGGAAAATCGCCTACGTGAGCTGATTCTCAAACCCCCCCTTTGCTATCCCCCCCTTTCGCCCGACCCGAGAGATCCAGAGATCCAGCGCACTGAAAAAAAATCGAGCCGGAGGTTTTCCGTATCTTTCGGCCTCTGCAGGGGCCCTCGCCGGGCCCCTGGGCCGTCAAAAGAAAAACCGGCTCGGGATGAGAAGCCGGTCCCGGGGCCGCGGGTCGAGGCTTCCAGGCGCCCCGCAGTGACAAAAACATCACGGCAGCGGATCTCCGGGGAGCCAGGGGTCTCGGCCTACAGGGGGCGCGCCAAGCGCATATGGAGACAGAGGGAGAGAGGGCCGAGCTCTCTCGCGGCCCGGGGGCTCCCAGGAGGCGGCTGCACTGCCCCAGGGTGGCGGCGCAAGAGCGCAGGGGCGGCGCGCGTCGCGCCTCGCGCCGCGGGAAGCGCGGCGGGTTGCAGTCAAAGCGTGTCCTAAGGACGGGGGGCGAGGACGCAAGACTTGTGGAGGACGATGAATGGAGAGGAAAAGCATGTTGCCAAACAATGTCCAGAGGTCTAGAAAACACGTTAAAACTGTGCTTCGCCATGTAAAAAGCATGCTTTAAAACATTTCCAGGACATGTGCCGACATTTTAGATACATGTTCAATTCGATGATCAAGCTATTAGGGTGCCCATCGTCGTGGCATCCACAACGCAAGACCCTCGGAGGCCGAAGTGGGGACCTTCTGGGCGGCGGGCGACGACCAGAGAAAGCGGCAGAGGACGGGCCGCAGAGGCAAGGGCACGAGGGCGCCCCAGGTGAAGGCGCGCGTCCTTACTCGGCGCGCTGACTGCAGGGTGTCCTGGGGGGCAGCCGGAGAGGCCTCAGGGGCAACGATAGGGGGAGGAGGGGTAGCGGCTCAGGGGTGGGTGGGCGCATCGAGGGGTGCGGGTAGGCTCCAAGGGGGGGGGCGGGTCTCAGGGGGAGCGGCAGTTGGGGGGCGATGGAGGCTCAAGGGGGGGAGGCATGGAGACACAGTCGCCCACTCATCTCCGACAGGGGCCCGAAAGTCCCAACCCCGCCGAGAACCTTGCGGATTCGCCATCGGGGGCCTATCGCCGATCCATCGGCGATGCATCGCCGATTCCAGTTCGATGTTTCCCCTCTTGAACCGGTTCCCCCCCTACGGTAGAGGGAAACAATTATAGTGGACACTCCCCCGCTTACCCAAACTCAAAAGTGGCACGCGCGGGGAAGATTGCGGTCGAAGTGCAGCTCATCCAACCCACCGCCAACATTGATCAGTGGGGGGGCATTGACAGATGAATGCGGCATGAGTGTTCGTTAATTTCTTCCGAGGCCTGTATCGTTGCCCTTCAAAGGCGGACGAGGAGGAGGGAGAACGACAACGAGCATCAGGACGAGGAGGAGGGGGGAAGCGGAGAGGGTGGAGGCGCCTCGGCCAGCGCGACCCTTGCGCGCGGTCGGTCTGGCTGGCTCCTGGCGGGTTCTGGGCCGTCCGTCGGCGCTTGCAGGGCGAGGGTGACCGACCAAGAAACGCACGACACCACCCCACCCACGGCACGCCGTGCTGGGACCGAGCTGCTTCGACGGCGCTCGGGCCGTGCACGGTTCTCTGGGGGTGTCTAGCGATTTGTGGGGCTTTCTGGAGATCCAGGCCACTTGCGACTCGACACCCTCCTCCACCTTCCCCCTTTTCGTTCTCTCGTTGCCCCTCTCCTCATTCATTCCCCAAGCACCCTCTTACACATGTTCCACCCCCTCCTACCCTTCCCCCTGTCCCTTGTATGTCCTGCTGCTACTGCTGCTGCTGCTGCTGCTGCTGCTGCTTCTTCTATGGCACCGCTTGCGGTCAGGTCCGCTCGTCCCTGGCCGTGATGCACCGTCGTCCTCCTGCTGGCGCCTCCCAGTCCTGCATCCCGCTCGGCGGCCCCAAGCGCCTCCCGCAAGCGCCCGTCCGCTGGCGGCGCCCGCCGCCGCGGCCCAGCCCGGCACGCCGCGCCGAGCGGCCAGCAGCTGCGCGGCGACGCCGCGCCGCGCCGCGCCCAGGTGCGTTTCGCCAGCGTCGCGGGCAGTGGCCCGGGAGGCGTGGCCGCGGCGGTGGGCTCGGCCGGCCACCGCCGCAGCGCCCTGTGACGAGCAGGGCCTCCGCACCCTCCCCAAGCCGGCCGCAGGTCTCCTCCTCCTCCTCCTCCTCCTCCTCTTCCTCCTCCTCCTCCTCCTCCTCCTCCTCCTAGACGCGGCGGCCGCGCGCCGGCGGGTACCGGTCGTGTTTCGCCTGCTCCGCGACGCGCGCCGTGCTGCTTGCGACCCAGGACGCACCTGGCTGGTAGCGGTCAGCCACCGGGTGCCGGACGGTGACGTCCAGCATCCAGCAGGCAATCCAGGAGCTCCTGAACGCCATGGCACCACACGTCAAGCAACACCTCCGAGGCCCCCTGTGAGTCCGGCACGAACAAGTCCCAGCGCACATGCCCTCCCGCCTCCGCCATGATGTCCCCGTGGATATTTGCAGTGCCCTCGTGGCGGAGGTTGCGGAATGGACCGCGCTCGCACTGGACGGCGTGATCGCAGTGTTGGTCCGGAAGCTCGCCGCAGGCCTCGGCAGCTGCTGCCGCAGCTGCTGCTGCTGCTGCTGCTGCTGCTGCTGCTGCTGCTGCTGCTGCTGCTGCTGCTGTGGCTGCTGCTGCTGCTGCTGGTCTCGCAGTTGGTAGGAACTGAAAGTGTAGGAGCGACAGCAAGGGAAGCACGACTATCATGAACACTCGAGGTTATCTTGATAACGCTTTTCACTCGCACCGTGGCTCCTCACGGGTTCTGAGAGCGCCAGGCTACCGACTGGCACTGCTGGATTACGCGGCCTCCACTCTCTCAGCCAAATACTAAATACAGTGTGATACTGATCACTGTACAAATATATGGCGATGTAGCGATACAAGCGAGCAGTACGCGTGCTAATGCACATATGCATATGAGGATTGAAAGGCAAAAGAGGAGAAAAAGGCGAGCGATGTTGAGCAGAATGGAAGGCAGGCTCGAGTCGAGCGCGACGTGCGCTGTGACGATGCACTCGCCTGGCGGTGCAAAAAGGGAGGAGTGCAGCACAGAGAAGAATTCTGCTGCTGCTGCTGCTGCTGCGCCCTCCACAAAACGTGACGCAGCAGCTAAGAACGCTATGTGCACGACTGCGAAGCTCACGTACGGAACTAGTGCCGCGCGAATCGGCAACAGGGAAAGTGCAAGGCTCACGATGTCACAACTTAAGGCCAGTGGCATCCAGATGATCCACAGTCCACGCTGACACCTGCGCCTCCACCGCCTGAGATGCTTGTAGATATGCTTTAGCTTCATCCTCGGGTACGGCTCCACCAAGGGATTCTCGCCAACCTGGGAGTCAAAATCTGGCGGGGCAAATCGTCTCACCGACCGCGCGGCTCCCTGGGAAGCGAAATCTGGCGGGGCAAATCGTGTCACCGACCGCGCGGCTTCCTGGGAACCAAAATCTGGCGGGGCAAAAAGCCTCACTGACTGGCAAGCGCCAGGAGACTATCTCCGTCAAGCTGGTAGGCCTCCAAGCAACGCGGCACTGCAGTGTCTTACACCAAACGACGCACAGCTATGCTAACGCAGTCACCCGGAGACAGGGTAAGGGATCCAGCTGATATCGTCGATCAGGCCTCCTTCGTCTTAAGATGGTTCACGAGCTGTTCAATCTTCGCGAGCTTGCTGGTACCTGTACTCTCACTGAGGCCCTGGTCTTTCAGCCAAGTGTTCAGGATCGTCTGGGTGAGCTTCGGCACCTCCGAGAAGCGCTTGAGGAAGGCTTTCTCCGTCTTCGGCCAGTCGCTCATGTCCGTCTCGGGCAGGATCTGCTTGGCAACGGTCATGGCGACTTGTGACGTCTCGGGTTCTTCTCCATCAGCAGGCGGGGCAGCGCAGTTTGCGAAGGCCTGGGGCACGCGGAGGCGGGGCCCGCCTTCAGCACGGCTGCGCCCAGAAGACGCTGCCGCAGCGCCTGCCTCCACCCTTCGCTGGAGCTCCTCCATCTTCTTCGCCATGGCCTTGATGGTCTCGTCCTTGTCTGCGATGCTGCCAAGGTCCTCCATGCCACTGGACTCCTGCATCGCTTTCATCAGCTTGACCATCTGCTTCTTATCGATCTTTGCGCTCTCCTCATCGTCCTCGTCATCATTCCTATGCTTCGTCTTCTTCTTCTTCTGGACGTGCTTCTTGTAGGCTTTCTTCATCTTGGCAATGTCGACCTTGCCAGTGCTGCTGCTAGAAGCTGTGGTACCTGCGGAACTGCTTGTCGAACTGCTCGAGTCCTGCTTCTTCAGCACTCTCCCTTTGGCGAACTGCAGGAAGCTGAACGGTTTCTTCTTGGACTTATCTTTCCCATTCGTCTTTTTCACTTTCTTGATGCCCAGGATGGATTCCACTGCCTCACACGCGCTCGAACGAATAGCACTGGCAAGGCTCTTACGTTCCGCCTTCTCCGCTCTCTTCTGTTCTTTCATCATGAAAGCGGCCTTCATCTCTCGTGCGTCGTTGAGCGCATCATGTAGATACGCGTCCTGACGTGACTGGTGCTGGTACTGCGTCTGCTGAGGTACGTACTGCTGTGGCCTTGGGTAGCCTCCGCCGTTGCCGCCTTTGCCACCACCACCGCTCTTGCCACTGTGCCCTCTGTCGCCGTTGCCCCAGCCCATGGCGTCGGCCACCGGTGGAGTCTTGGCGGGCTGCGGGAGTGGGTCAGCGTGCAGTCGGGGTAGCGGGCACTGGCTGAACGGAGGCTCGATCACAGGAGTGACGGTTTTGAGCCAAAACGCTATCAAAGACGGTCTCAAGTATATCACGAGTCGTCGTGGCCTTACCGTTTGTGCTCCGTACCAGTTCTTCCAAAATCGTGCTCGACCTAGCCAGCTCTCGCCCCAGCCTCCGAACAAGACAAATGTAGTGGGACGTATGCTTCCTGGGGATGCTGCAGAGTCCACGTCCAATGAGCTGGGCGGGCCAATGGAGCAGTGCCACCTCTGTGAGCACATCAACGGTCGCCACCCTGGCCCTATGAGGGTGCCCCTGGGCCATGGAGTTGAAAGTAAGGATCCTCTCCCATAGCCGTGGGTACAAGAGCCGAGGGGGCAACAACGTGGGGGCACTAAGAAAATGGGGAAACTTGGCATACTTAAGATTACCACGCTCACCATGGATGTACTCATTGTTTGCAGAGAACGCATGACACTCGAAACTCTCACCATGTGCAACCAATTCACACTGCAAATACTGAATCGGGAGACTGGCGCCTTCATGAGTGATGCCGACGTCATCTGGAAAGAGCCGTTTAAGGCCTCTATATAAGCAATCGCTGCAAAACACTCTGGAGAAACATAATGCATCATCAACATATAGCACACCCTGGACAAGTTCATGGGTATCGAGAAGGGGGAGGCTAAAGCCAACGCGTCGTGCCACGGCTGGATCGCGGTACAGAGCTGCGATGCACTCGCCGAGGTCGGCCAAGGTTGCTGGCTCCGGCATGGATCCCCCCATGGGCCAGCCCTTTCTCCGACGGAAAACGTCAGAGCCCACCAAAAAGTATTGGTCCTCACAGGCGTATTGCAGGGCAATCTGTATTTCTCTGAAAGTGACCAAATCATGTCCTGGCTTTCGGGGTTGTCCTGGAATGTAGAGGCCTCCTGCTGCTTTCCGTCCACGTTTAATTTCGACGCTCGTGGCGCCTGTCGTGGCGGTGATCCTAGCAAGCAGTTCCCTGGCTTTCTGGCATCCTCGTTTTTCAGAAGCATCTTTGAAAAATTGTGCAGCATCGACCTTAAGAAATGATATGGCTGGTTTGCAACGTCCGCATGGGCATGTGTTCTTATATTTCTGTACTGTACAAAGTTGGCTCGCCCGTGCATGCAACAGGGAGGGTAATAGGTTAGGTTCCCACACTGTCCACATAGGGTCGCCTGATTTTTTCTTTGCAATCCGTAGAGCACGAGCGGCTTTTCGCAGGAACCTCTTTTGCGTGGCCTTACAGTTGCTGATGATTTCACGCTCATGGGCGTGACTCTTGGTACACACCAGCTCACCTGTTTCTGGCGACACGCATTTGCCTTTAATAGTGAGGTATGCCTTCGGCAAGTGTTCAATTTGGGCAACGTGGGGACTGCGCCACTGCTGTGGCACCATCCTTTCATCACGCTTTCGCTGCATTCTGACAACTTGCTTAGGCGTGAGATGCTGCATGTACTCGTAGTGAATATTATCTTCGAGGAAGCAACGCCCCAACCTCCAGATGTATGCATATATCGGGATCCCCACACGTCGGTGTGGGTCTTTGTCGACTCCGATCCACACGTGCTGGGGATATTCACGAAGGTTGAAGGCTCTAATCTCACCAATTGGGAGTATGGATGCTTCAGGTGGGGGCTGCAACGGGGCCAGATGGTGGAAGCATCGATCATATAACCATGCATAGCTGAACTGTGTGCGCGAGAACTGATACTTCCTAAAGTGTGCATGGAGCTGGGGGGCCAGCTGCTGCCAAAGCTTACACAAGTCCACGGGCTCAGGGATATCCCAAAAAGTCGAATCCCAAATGATGTCATGGGAGAGTGTGTTGCTAATATCTGGGTCATGGCACAACTGGTGGTAGAAGCAGACAGAGAAGAGAGATGATGCTTGATGCTGTTGTGTGAGCCTATCACTAAAGTATGCAGCACGCGAACCGACAACTTGGCATTTGGCGACACAATACTCATATAGGTGCTTTCGCCCTCTGGTGGCTCTCCACATATATTGTCGCACCACTCGTCGCACTCTGGCCAAGACGTTGGGGCAGGATGACGCAATACGGATGGTAAAGGTCCTGCTCGGCAGCAAGTTTCCCGTCTGTAAAAACCGTTCAATTTTACTACGAGCTGTTTCTCGTTGCTGGTAACACAAATGGCAACACAGACACCAGAGACGAACGAGATATGGGACAAGGAGCGCGTGCCTCCAGACTCGTCTGTAGTCGAGGCGCGTGCCCAGATCCCCCAAATACACGCACAACCATGGCTCATATCCTCTAACATACATAAGCTGCTTGACGCGTGCCAAGGGTATGAGCAAATAGCGCTGGCACCACGAGGCAAGGGATGGGAATGAAGCTTGCGTGCGCAACATGCGTTGTCGTATATGTGTACGTGTACGTATCTGTGTAAGTAGATTAAGTGAACACTCCTGCTCCACATTTGGGTGTCGCCGGAACCTCGGGAACTCACGTTTCCGCGGGTCTCGTCTTCCCTGCTTACTTGCTGGGAGTATCTGTGTGGGCGGGTGCAACACTTCAATGGCAAACAGCTCATACTGCAAGACATGTGATATACTACCATATGCAAGGGGCGTCGACACCAAAGACCACATAGTACAACTACTCCACTGTTTATATCTAGGCCTGTGTGTCTGAGATCCTGCATCCATGAATGTCGCATGGAAATGTTCCTTGAAACGGGCCATTCCCCCATGCCAAGCTTTGCCGTTAACTCGGCGGCTTGTCTGTGCTTTGCCCAGGTACCAGGCCCCACATTCAAGGGATACTGCAGCATACAGCATACCCGTTTTATTGTGGTCGGCTTTCGGAGCAAAACATGTGTGTTCAAGTTGTTGGAGGAATGATTTCCAAAAAGCTGAGTTAAACGCTCGATACAACAATACACCCTGCAGCTCTGGTTTGGCCGCTCTGAGCACCATGCGCACATGGTGCTTTGTACTGTGGTTTGTTGCCGCAAAGTGGTAAAACTGATGACATCCGAGAATATAATAACATGTCCAAATTCGTGCGTTCGATCTCCCTTTTGCAAGCCAGTACCCCAACACACATCGTACATCACGTAGTTTATGTATGAGGTCTGGCTGTAGGAACCCTCGAAGGGCCCAATTGCCAAAAGCTCTCGCCAACATTCTGCATAGGTCTTCCTCTGTTCCACCGTGTGGCAGCTGACAGTACTGGCAGGCGGCTCTGAGGACCTGGAGGCCTCTCTGAAGTTGAACGTGGTGCTGCCATTCACTGTACTGTAGTGCGGGGAAGACATTGTGGGCTCGTCTATAGGCGATCTCCATATGGAATGTAAAGGTTCGCAATTTACGGAAGGGTTATAGTTTAACCACCCCCGCCCACAAGGAGGCTTCTGGGGGTGAGCTGCTGGTCTCGCAGTTGGTAGGAACTGAAAGTGTAGGAGCGACAGCTAGGGAAGCACGACTATCATGAACACTCGAGGTTATCTTGATAACGCTTTTCACTCGCACCGTGGCTCCTCACGGGTTCTGAGAGCGCCAGGCTACCGACTGGCACTGCTGGATTACGCGGCCTCCACTCTCTCAGCCAAATACTAAATACAGTGTGATACTGATCACTGTACAAATATATGGCGATGTAGCGATACAAGCGAGCAGTACGCGTGCTAATGCACATATGCATATGAGGATTGAAAGGCAAAAGAGGAGAAAAAGGCGAGCGATGTTGAGCAGAATGGAAGACAGGCTCGAGTCGAGCGCGACGTGCGCTGTGACGATGCACTCGCCTGGCGGTGCAAAAAGGGAGGAGTGCAGCACAGAGAAGAATTCTGCTGCTGCTGCTGCTGCTGCTGCTGCTGCTGATGCTGCTGCTGCTGCTGCTGCTGCTGCTGCTGCTGCTGCTGCTGCTGCTGCTCTCCCCACCGGCCTCCACGCTCTCCCCCGTGAAACCTCCTTTCAGCAACCCCCCACCGTCCCCACTCTCCCACAGGAGTCGTGTTCCGAAGAAGGCCGTGATGCATCACCACCGTGCCTGGCCAGGGCCATCCTAGTTCCCAGGAGACTGGCAGACGCGCGTATATGCCCACAACTAACTACCAGGCTCGATGTAGAGGAGGAGGAGGAGGAGGAGGAGGAGGAGGAGGAGGAGGAGGAGGAGGACCTTGACGAGGAGGATCAGGAGTAGGAGTTGTACGATGAGGAGCGAGGATAGGAGGAGGAGGAGGACGAGGAGGAGGAGGAGGAAGTAGGAGAAGCAGGATCGTGCACACACCTTGTGGCCTCAGCGAAAGATGTATGATTATCCCCCGCCCAGCGGACTCGGCGGTTGCAGCGTTGCGGTTTAGCTCAGTTTCGTTGCCTTCTACCATTCGCGCGATGTGGAGACACGTGCCTACATCGATCTTGTGCCACTCAAGCATGTTTTACTATTGGCCTAAAAGGGTTGTACCAAAAGATACGGTCAGGCCCGTTTGGATGGCGTGTCACTCCGCTGGCTCTGGCCCACCACGCTGCGGCGGGACACTCTATCCACTTCCTGGTCCCGAGGCGTCAACGTCCAAAGTTTTCCCGAGCTTACCGCACCGCGGAGCGAAGCGACACGTTATTCACTCGCATGTGATAGCGTGTCGCCGGGGCCGCCGCCGCGACACGCTATCCAAAAGCTCCTGACCGCAATTCGTGAGCCCACATTGTGATTGCCTTCTGCGTGCGTTTATTGTTGTGGGACATCTGCCCGCAGGAGTCTTGTACGGCGCTGCAATCGCGATCAGCCTGGAGCCCACCGTCCCCGAGCGCTTGCTCACCGTCCTGTTCTACCTCCAGTGGGTCGCCCTCGCCGTCTTCGGGCTGTCGGCGATGGCCATCGATACCGCGGACCCCGAGGTTCGAGGGTCGAGGTTCGAGGATAAGTGTGGGGGGGGGCTTTTTATTTGAAAAACAAACAACTGTACACTGCATCTCTCCGCTCCGCCTCCAGTCCCATCGTCGACGATCCTCGTTCGATGCTGCACCGCAGGCAATTTGGCTCTAGGAGCCCCTGAGGGGCGACACGGGTAGCCTCCTTTGAATTTTCCTCTTCGCGTGAGGCTCGATCCAACACGGGTGCGACAGGCCTCGGAAGAAATTAGCGAACATTCATGCCGCATCCATCTGTCAATGCCCCCCCCCACTGATCAATGTTGGCGGTGGGTTGGATGAGCTGCACTTCGACCGCAATCTTCCCCGCGCGTGCCAATTTTGAGTTTGGGGGAGCGGGGGAGTGTCCACTAATTGTTTCCCTGTCCCGGAGAATCAAGGACTCAGCCTTTCTTGGGCTTGGGGCCTCCCCGTCGCCGCGGCCAGCTGCGTCTCGAGACCCAGGTCGCATCGCACCCCCCGGGCAGTCGGGCCCGGGCATCGGCTCCGGGGGGAGGAAGGCCCAGACTCAGGAGGGAAAAAACACACACAGACACAATTGATCGTCGACTCCCAGGAGAAGATTGGAAAATATGGGAAGTGGGGGGGAAGACAGAAACCCAGAACATATGGGAAAACATGGGGAATCCTGATATTCGTGTGCATTTGTCTGTGTGTCCCAGGGGCCCCCTTCATTCGCCACGGCCAGGTGCGTCTCGAGACCCAGGTCGGATCGCACCCCAGGGCAGCCGGGCCCGGGCATCGGCCCTGGGGGCAGGAAGGCCCAGGCCCTCTGGCAGATTGGATCGGAGGTTGATCGACCTCCTACCCTGACACGTCGATTAAGGAATTGGCCAGCTTCGGTTCGCGAGAGGGCGTCGCGGCCGTCATTTTTGCGGGTCCAGGCCCGTCGGTTTCGGCCCCAGGCCGTTTTCACAAAGGGGAGGCTTACCTAAAGGGAGGTGTGTCCACCGCCGATAGGAAAAAACGCGGTGCCTCCGTCGGGACGCAGGGTCCCCGAGGCAGCGATCCGGGACGATGGGGAGCCAGTCCGAGGTCCACAGCGGCGTCCAGCAGGAGGCGACAGAGGAGGAGAAGACGACGCGGACGAGAAAAGCAGGGTGGTGAGAGGCAGGAAGGGTCGAGCCGGTCAGCCCGAGCGGGCCAGCAGGCCAGCCGGCCAGCCCGAGCGTGCCAGCGCGCGCTCTGCCACCGAGCGAGCGGGCGGCGCTCGTGCGGGGTCCCGCACTTGGCGAAGGGGGCACCGTTTGTCAGCCCAGGTCGGGCGAAGAGAACTCTGCACATGCACCGATCCTGACAGCGCCCATCCTTGACCCAGGATCGGTGCATATACCTCCCTGGCCAAGGCAAGAGGGCGTATGCACCGAGCTTGGGCTCAGGATGGTCCTGGCCAGAATCGGTACATGTGCATAGTTTTCTTTCCTCTACCAGGGCTGGACCTAAGCGTTGTTTTGCTGGGTTTCAGCTGGGTCTTGTTTTTCGTTGTGACAGGGAGGTGCAGGAAGCCAGGTGAAGCGAAACGAACAACATAACGAAAGCAAACGAAGAACAACGTTCAGGTCCAGCCCTGTGTCAGCCCATTCTCGGCGGCACGATTTGCCGATGGGCGTGGCGAAGGCAAGGCATGCGCCCCCGCAGCACTGCCGCGTTCCCGCAGGAGAGATCTCTGCGCGGCACTGGGTCTCAGCAAGGGCTCCCCCGAGGGCGCGAAGTTATTCGCGCTTCGCGGTCCTCGTTTCTCCTCCCCCTCCTCCTCGTCCTCCTTTTCTCCCTTTGGGGGGGCGGCGCGAGAGCGCTAAGTTATTCGCGCTTCGCGCTTCGCGGAGCGCGAAGCGCGAAGTTGGGAGCCCTAGCTCAGAGATGACGCGTCGCGTGCGCGCGCGGGGTTCTCCCCGCTGCCGCGTTTTGTCCGGCGACCCTGCGAGCGACAAAGATGCGCTGCGACCAAGCTCACCGAGCGCGTTCCACTGCTCGCAGAGTGCCTGCTCTCGGTATCGTTTAACCGATCCCTATCCCCATCCCCATCCACATCTCGCGCCCCACCGTCTCACCACCTCAGTTGGGGATATGCCCCTCGAAGCCCGAAGAAAGCAGCCTATATCCCCATCCAAGGGGGGTCGATCGGCCAGTGGGGCCCAGCCCACGCTGGTGGGGATGGGAATCGGTTAAACGATGCTCATACTCGCAAACGTCTTTAGGAACACATGTGTGCCTCGATTTGTGATGTTCCAACCTACTTTAGCCTTGATCGCCACAAAGAACTTCGAGCACAACAAAGGTACCGAAACTTCAGGGTTTTCACGTGTCGGGCCCTGGGAGGCACTCGTCCGACACCGTTTCGACACCGTTCCGACGCTTTTTCGATACTCCTTCCGGGGGCTCGAAATTATTTCTGGGATGTGGTCCCGAGTCCAGGCCGCTGGCGAGCAGTGAGAGACGTCTTGCGGGGAGCAGCGGAGCGCGCCTGCTTGCCCCGGGCGGGAGAGCGCCACCCTCGCGCGCAGCGTGCACGCACCTTGCTGGGCGGGCGCGGCACTTCGCCCGCTCGCGCGCGGCCCCGCTCCCCACGACGGGGCGAGGCAGAACCATTGCGCCGCACTCGGGCTTACGTCGGGCCTGTCTGTCTACAGGAGGGATATCCAAAGATAAAAATATAGTTGTGGGACGGTGTTTTGACATTTGTTTTGAGAATTTTAGGGCATTGTTGGACTATTTTTAATGTTTCGTGTAGAATCGGTCTGTAGGGGGACAGGCTCGACCTAAACCCAGGCAGGAGCGCCACCCTCGGGGAAAAGCAGCGCGGCGCTTGGGCGAGAGCTGCGTTCCGCCGGCTCGTGCGCGGCGACCCCGTTTGTGACACGTTGGCGAGCGACAGCTGCGCGCCGCGCAGAAGCGAGAGTAGGATTCTCGTGAGCACTGCACGCGGGGCCCCAGGGAGAGCGACATGTCGCCCGTTTGCGCGCGAAGTGCACTCCTTCCCTTTCCTGTTGCCCATTGTGCAACGAGAGCGACAAAAGTCCATGCTAAGAGGGACATCGTCGACCTGGTGCGTTTCATGGTAAGGATTGAACCACTTGGACTGATCGGCAATCGGCCGGTTCTGTGGCGTTCAGGGGGTGTACATGAGAAAGGGCTAAGGCTGTGATTAAGGCGCACGACGAATCATTCTAAACCATGTTAAAACCAGGTTTGAAGCTTGGTATGATCCCGAAGAGTGTCAGGCGATATTCGATCAGATGATGCTTCCTCATCTTCTTCCTTCCATCCTCCTTCTAGGGTTAGTTGCCGTCATATCTTGGGGGACGGCCCCATCAGCTCGTCATGTTTCTCCTCCTCTTTGTCCGTCCGCTCCTTCTGCTGTTGCTGCTGCTCCTAATCTTCGTTCCCTCCCAGGTCCTGGACGATGGCCCCGACGAGTTGAGGACGAATCCAGTCTTGCGAGTCGTCGCCATGGCTCTGCTCATAGACCCTGGCGTCGAGAAGGAGCGCGACAGGCCTCACTGCACCAGAGGTTGCAGCAGGCTGGTCAACGTGAGGAGCAGGCACTGCTGGGAGTGCAACAAGTGCGTCTCTGGCTTCGATCACCACTGCCCCTGGTTGAACAACTGCATCGGCAAAAGGAACTACCGGGTCTTCCTCGTGGCCATCTGCCTCGTGGCCACCACGCTCTCCACGCTGCTCCTCGGCGGGGCGGTGCTGCTCCTGCGCGGGCTCTGGGCTCCCCTGGCCGTGGTCTCCTTCAACGTGCCGCTGCTCGTGCTCGACCTGCACCTGGTGGGCTACCACTGCTACCTCCCGGAGGGGAAACGGCGGCACACCTGCAGACTCTTTCGGAGCCCCGCGTGGAGTCCCTGCACCTGCGCCATGGGGCCCGCCCCTGGCGCCCTCCGCGCGCCGGGGGACGGGGGAGGGGGGGGCCGGCGCGGGTGCGAGCAGTCCGCGCGGACCTCCCAGAAGTCAGGAGGAGAAAAAACACACAGACACAATTAATCGTCGATTCCCCAGAAGATATGGGAAAATATGGGCAGTGGGGGGGAAGCCAGAAACCCAGAAAATATGGGGAAATATGGGGCATATTTTTATTTGTGTGTATTTATTTGTATGTCCTTGGCCCCCTTCAAGAAGTCTCTGTTGCTGCCGTGCGTTGCTCCTCCCGCCTCGCCCTCATCGGCGTCACGACGTACGAGCACCTCACGGGCAGGAGGGCGCCGAGGCGGCCGCGCGAGCCGCAGCAGCGGGAGCCATCCTCTGGCCCCCCGCCCGGCCCGGACGCCACCTCCGGCCCTGCGCCCGGGCCGGCGCCCGCGGGCGTCGGGAGGGCCGCGGGCGCAGTGCACTTGGAGGAGCGGTGCCCTGGGAGGCCACCGCCATCATCATCATCATCAGCAGCAGCAGCAGCAGCAGCAGCATCATCATCATCATCATCATCATCATCATCATCATCATCATCATCATCAACATCATCATCATCATCATCATCATCATCATCATCATCGTCATCATCATCATCATCGTCATCGTCATCGGCATCGTCATCATCATCATCATCATCATCATCATCACGATCATCATCATCATCATCATCAGCAACAGCATCATCATCATTTGTATCAGCATCAGCATCAGCATCAACAACAACATCCTCAGCAGCAGCAGCAGCAATATCATCAAAATCATCACCAGTAGCATCAACAGCATCATCATTAACAGCAGTAGCATCAACAGCATCATCATTAACGTCATCATCAACAACATCATCACCATCATCAACAACAACAACATCAACATCATCAACAGCATCATCAACATTAGCATCATCACCATCATCATCCAAATCATCAACATCAGCATCATCAACAACAGCATCATCAACATCACCAGCATTATCATCATCATCATCATCAGCAGCAGCAGCAGCAGCATCATCATAATCACTGCCGAAGAAGGAGAAAAAACGCCATGAACATAGAATGTTGGCGCTCCGCCGCGGCTTTCTTGGATTCCCGCTGGCCCCCCCTCCCGGGGCGGCGCCTCCGGCGCCGTCCCTGGCGCGCCGCGCGCCAGCGAAGGGGGAGGCCCACAGCAGGTCCAAGAAGTCCGCGGCGGAGCGCCAAACGTTTAAGCTCATGGCGTTCTTTCCGTCTTCTGACTCGGCTTCAGTCGGGCCTGTCCCTCTACAGGGGGGAAGTTCAAAAATAGTAATAAAAAAGTCTGGGGACGATTGTTTGAGCATTTTTTGGCAATGTTGGGGTATTTTTGTGTATCTGTTGTGAATATTTCGTCGAAAATCCCCCTGCAGGGGGACACGCCCGACTTGAGTTTATGCTCGTGGCGTTCTCTCCGTCTCCCGACTCGGAGGAGCGGTGCCCTGGGAGGCCATCGAGCCCGCCGCCCTCGCCCTCGCCGGGGCCGCCGCTGGCCCCGAGCACGTCGGCGGCGCCGCCGTCGCCCGCGGCCGGCCGGACCGGCGCGCAGGCGCCGAGGGGGAACAGCACGGCACTCAAGCAGTGGCGAAGCGTCCTGGCTCGCCTATAGCCCTGCCAAGCAATGTTCGAAGAGCCTCTTGTGGTTTCCACGAGAAATGTTCTTCGAGCATTTCTGGCTGGGGCTGTCTTCTTTGAACGGCGCGGCGTGCGCACAGATTTTCGGTAGGGGCACAAAGAGTGGCATATAACATGGAAAAACTCGGAGGTCCGCGCGGACTTCTCGGATCGGCGCTGGACGCCCCCTCCCTGGCGAGCGGAGCGCGCCGGGGGCGGCGCCGGAGGCGCCGCCGGGGAGCCCCAGCGCCGATCCGAGAAATCCGCGCGGACCTCCGAGTTTTTATGTCTATGCCACTTTTTGTTCCCCTACCGCAAATCTCTGCGCACGCCGCGCTGTTCAAAGAAGACGGCCCCAGCCAGAAATGCTCTGAGAACATCTCGTGGAGACCACAAACGACCACAACGAGTTTTTATGTTTATGCCACTTTTTGTCCTCCTATTCGGAGCCCCGCGCCCCCCCGGCCCGAAAAGTCCGTGCGGAGTTCCGACGGTTTCTGCCTCTCCTGCTCCTCGCCCCTCGATCCTGGCAGGAACTGCTGGACAGCGTGTCGCTCCGCGGGTTCTGGCACCAAGCTTCTGCGCGACACGCTATCCTTAAGTCGGGCCTGTCCCCCTACAGGGGGATTTTCGACGAAAAATTTAAAATACCCAAAAAATGATCCAAAAATAGTCCAAAAATGGTCTGGGGACTATTTTTTGACTATGTTTGACCCTTTTGGGGCATTTTGGGGGTTCTTTTTATTTTTCTTCGAAAATGCCCCTTTAGGAGGACAGGCCCGACTTAACGCTATCCACTTCCCAGTCTCGAGGCTTCGGCGTCTCGAGCCTTTTCCGAGCTTCCAGCCCCGCGGAGGGCGGAGCGACACGCTACACCACTCGCAAGGCATGTAGCCTGTGGCCGGGGCCGCCGCCACGGCACCCTTTTCCAAAAGTCCCTGACAGGAGCATCTGGCTGGAGGCTTCTGCGAATGTCAGCCACGCGCAGAGGGGGGTGGGGGGAGGGGGGAGGGCTTCTTAGAAGCACCCCTGCTTCTTAGAAGGCGCGGGCCTTATGTATACATGTAAGGCCGGCGCCTTCTAAGAAGCAGCCTCCTTCTAAGAAGCCCCCCCCCCTCCCTTCATCCCCTTCTGCGCGCCGCCAATTCTGAGAATGGTAGTAATGAGTCGGGCCTGTCCGTATACTTGAGGAGTATGCAAGAATACCTTGAAGATATCAGGCCGAGGGCGATTTGCCGTACCCTCTCTCTCTGACTATGGTGTGCATATGTCCTGACATGGCTGATGCTTCTTCAGAGGACATGCCTGTAGGAGGACATGTACGACCTAATGGCAGCAGAAAGTCCAGAGGCGATCCTCTCGGGGGGGGGCGCCGAGCCCGAGACCGTCTGGCCCGCCAGCCCAGTCGCCTGAGATGGCCTGAGCCAGTTTCTTCGGGCGCCGCGTAGTGTCGCCTTCAGTGCCGGCTGCACGCTGGTCGTTGAAAGTACGTATTTCTGGGCTCCCAGGTCCCAATCTATTTCAAGCGCCCTCCTACGACAAGAATCGATATGCTTTTGCTGTGTTCTATTGCTCTCTGGGAGGGCCTGAGCCTGATCTACTTTATATCCGCCGTCCTGCTCCATGTTTTGACCTACTTCTTCCGACTGGCGTGTACATGAGGCGTTCCAAAAAGGGCCCTGCCTTCAAGGAAAGAAGGGGTTGTCATCTCTTCCACGGCGGAAGCGCGGCGGAAACTCGGCGGAAGGCGGCGGACGTAACAGATGCGGCCCCAAGAGATGAAAACGTTTTGGGTTTCAGGGTTTCCGAAATCGCCCACATGTTTGGCCTGGACGGCTGCGCGATCCCTTGTAACATATACGCGAAGGTGCACATGGAAGTGCTCTTTCCCCTGTCCCGAGTCGCCGACGTCCCCAGGAATGCCTAAGAAGGCACGCTTTCACTCGCCGACCTCCTAATTACTCCTCGACCCGCCTCTTCCCCCTTTGCTGTTCTTCGGGCTCTCTGCTGGGGTGTCATCTCTCTTTCAAGCAGTGGCGAAGCGTCCTGGCTCGCCTATAGACCCACCAAAAATAAGATTCGAAGAACCTTCTGTGGTCTGCACGACATGCTCCTACAACAGTTCCGGCCGAGACTGTGCTGTTTTAACACATCGGGCTTGTGTTATAAAAAACACTGCTTTGCTCTTCGAACACCGAGCATTTTCTTTGGGTGGAGGGCAGAGGGTGAAATCTGAAATGCCGTTTCGATGGATTTTCGAGGCTCGGATCAGCAAAAGGTGAATCACAAGACGGGTGGATTTTCGAGGTGCCAAAGCCCATATGGATTTCACCCTGAGCCCTCCACCCTAAGAAAATGCTCAGGAACACTCGTGTGAGTTCTTCGCACACTCGTGTGAGGAAAGCCGGGGCTGTCGGTCCCTGCTCCACTCTTCCTCCGGGGCGCACTGCCCGCCCCTGCCGAGAGTGCGGCAGGCCCCATCGGCCCCCCCCTCCGTCGTCCAGAGCCCGCGCTCCGCGCGGATGTTGCCGAGGGTCGGCGCCCTCCCCCTCCTCCTCCTCCTCCTCCCTCTCCTCCTCCTCCTCCTCCTCCTCCTCCCTCTCTCTCCTCCTCCTCCTCCTCCCTCCTCCTCCTCCTCCTCCTCCTCCTCCTCCTCCTCCTCCTCCTCCTCCCTCCTCCTCCTCCTCCTCCTCCTCCTCCTCCTCCCTCCTCCTCCTCCTCCTCCTCCTCCTCCTCCTCCCTCCTCCTCCTCCTCCTCCTCCTCCTCCTCCTCCCTCTCCTCCACCTCTTGCTCCTCCTCCTCCTCCACGCGAATCAGATCGTACGAGTGGTGGTTTTCCTGAATTCGCTTCGTTGTCCCAGGTTTCAGGTGATTGGTGTTTCGTTTCCCTCCTCGGTTTGTAAGCGTCGAGGAGCATAATTTGAGGCAGCAGCACAGCAGCAGTCGGTAGAGTGGAGTATGAGACCTCTCTGGGTACGCTCCGCCTCCTCGTCCTCCGCGCGAAGCTTCAGAAGTCTCTGCTCATGCTGCTGATGCTATGTCTGCCAGGAGCACTGCCCACCCCCGCCGAGTACCGCAAGCCCAAAAGAAGGGATCGAGTACAGAACTGATGTACCCCAGAAGTGGGTTTTCTCTTCGAAGCCAGGGAACATGCGCAGAAACGCTGTCAGACCCACGAACATTTTTGCGAGTGCGTCTGCAGACTCGACGTGACAATGCATGTTAGGGTACATTGGTCAGTCCTAATTATTCGAAGGTTATTTGATGTTCTGGTGGGTCAAGATCCTTTCATTTCTAATTGTTCTATCCTGGGCCTCTTCCTGGTCACTAGGGGGCCAGGAACAATTGGAAACGAGCACAATTAGAAATGAACACGATCAGAAATGAACGACGTGTAGACTAGGCCTCCTAGGTGGGGTCGGAGTAGGTGGGGTCGGAGGATCGCGCCGCATCGCCGATGCATCGGCGATGCGGCTCGATGTGGGGCCCAAGATTCTCCACGCCGACGTCGCCAGTTTATCGCCGACGTCGCCAGCGCATCGCCGGTGCATCGCCGATGCATCGCCTATGTATCGGCGATGCTGCAGGATCTTAGCATATCTGTTGAAGAACATATACTCTCTCCGCACTTTGTGTTGCCCTTCTTCTTGGTTTTCGATTATTCCCTGTTGTCGAGGCTTTTCCAGGTTTTCCTGCTGTACACCTTGACGACGGGGGGGGGGCTCAGGGGTGTGGCTGCCTTCCGAGCCGGCTTCGGGACGTCGCGCGTCAGTGGGTGCGACACACACACACACACATTCACACTCACACTCACACTCTCTCTCTCTCTCTCTCTCTCTCTCTCTCACACACATACACGCGCGCACATGGACATACAGACACAGAGTACATACACACGAACGGGGAGAGAGAGAGAGAGAGAGAGAGAGAGAGAAAGAGAGAGAGAGAGAGAGCCTTGATCGCACACGGACAGCTACGACCGTCTGGGAGGCTCCCCCTCCTCGGGTATTGACAGTCTCTTGCAAGGCGTCCGCCTCGGTGAGCGACGGCGACCCGCTGCGGGCTACCGCGTCCGTCGACTCGGGGTGGAGCGGCTGAACGTTTCCGATTTGCCCCGTGCTCTTTCTCCATCTCCTTCATCTCCTTCGTCTGTTCCTTTATCTCATTGTGGTAATTAAGGGCTGAACGACTTCTCCGGTCTCTCGGATCGCACTGGAGCTTCGATGATGTCCTTAGATATGTTTGGACAAAGGCGCATCTACTTCGACTTCTTTGGATGGGCAGCGATTTACGTCGATTTCTACGACCAATCCACTTTGATCCTCACAAGGCGTTTGGAGAAATGTCGTTAAGCCTTTAAGGACACCTTCCCTCCTCCTTTTCCCCCTTCTCCCTCCTCTTCCTCCTCCTCCTTCTCCTCCTCCTCCTCCTCCTCGTCCTCCTCCTCGTTCCTTCTCCTCCTCCTCTGTCTTCTCCTCCGCGAGGCGGAGCGGCTGGAAGCTCCCGACGCACTCGCATCTGGTCGGCCAAGCCGAGGACCAGCGAGGAAAAGGAGGGGCGAGGAGGGGCAGGATGCTTTCGGGCGTGGCGCCCAAGACCTCAAACGTGATGGCCACACGTTCCAGGGTTCGGCTGTGGAGGTCCATTTCGAGCCCCATGGCCATCAGAGAAAGACCCGGGATGAAGAGTCGGCCAGGTGGAGGTGGAGGTGTCGAGAATTGTAGGGGCCCGCGGTTCGAAAATGCTAGGATGAATGAGGATTGGGGAAGTGTTCGGGGGTTTCGATATGTGTTATGATGCTTTTGTATGTTATTATTTTTAGCGGAGGGCGGGGGGAAAGAGGAGGAGGATTTATTATTTTCTTCCGCGTGGCGCCTCCGCCTCCTTCCTCCGCCCTCCTCCCTTCCCTCCCGCCTCCTCCCTCTTACTCGCATTGAGACCCCTCGCACTCAGACTCAAATCCAGGCCCCCTCGCACTCAGACCCTCGTATTCAAGATTCGCTAGCACTAGCACGAGCACCCACTCGTAGAATCACTAATATTCAGATTCCCTCGTGTTCAGATTCTCCCATACCCGGACTGCCCACTCATACTGAGACTCGCCACGCTCATACCGATTCATACTCAGACTCGATCATACCCAGATTAGCACACATTCATACCCACTTGCCTTGCGACTCCCTCATATCAAGTTTCACGTTAAGCGGATCACTCATACGCAGATTTACTCTTTGATGTCGCAGGCATTGTAGCTTGGCTTCCCAGGGGGGTGTCAGCCAGGAGTGTATCACAGATTTGTTCGAACGCAGATTGTGGGGACCTCTCTGGAGAATTGCCCGCTTTGGCACAGTAGACATATGCCGCCCTGGAGCCCCATGACCACCGCAATGCATCAGGCGTGGCACTTGGCCTTCCACATGGGGGTGTCGAGCTGGCGGACTGGAGGGAGGAGGCGGAGGATGAACAGGGTAGGTCTTGAGGGGGCAAAAGAAACAGCAGTTCAAAGAGCACCAGACAGCAGCACACAGCGACACAACGCAGTAGCGAGCGGCACAGATCACCAGGTCCCGGCTATAGGTAGCAGAAAACCGATCTCACACCCAGAATGATTCATTCGGTCGTACCCAAACTCACACTCACTCGGCCGGAATGTTGGCTCAGCGCGTTGCTTCGCCAGTTCTGGTTCACCATTCTTCGGCGCGACACGCGATCATCTTCCCCATTCTCACGCGTCAGCGTCCGAGTTTGTTTCCCAGTTTCCCGCCCCGCGGAGCGACGCGACACGCTGTCATATCGCAAGGTGTCGAGGGACAGAATAGGAACAGAGAGGGTCTAAAAGGATACGTACGAGGGCGAGGGGACCCCAGAGTCCCTTCCTCATCCTGGATGAGTCATCCATAGTCTCGATGGTACAACAGTCGTCATGGCAGCGGAGCTGGTTACTGCCAGTTCCCACTAGCGCCACTGCAGGCGCTGGCCAGTCCCGCGCGCGCCCAGCGGCATATAGCGCGGGGCGGTCCATTGCGAACGGGCTTGACCAGACCGAGCCAGAGACGGTCCAGCAGAACCGCGAGAAGAAGCAGAACCCATGGGTCCACGGAGACCAAGTAGACCACAATGAGGACCCAGATGAGATCTACGAGCGCCAGGACGATGTCAACAGCAGCATAGAAGAGGTCAGCCCAATCCCAGACGAGGACACCCAAACCAACTGAAACATCTATTTGATCAGATGGGGGAAGGCGGCGTTGGAGCGAAGTGGCAAGGTGCAGGGCCCAACCCACCAGCATTCGACGGCCCACAAGAACATTGGACAGAGCGGGGCTTCGTGATGCAATCCTACTTCGGCGGTCAAACCAGGCACACACATCTTCTCCTGGACGCCACAGAACTGTGAGGATATCCAAACAGCTCAACGGACCTAGTTCATGACCAGATGAGAGCGCCAGGTACGTAAGCTAATCGAAATATGTCTTTCGCTTTAGTGATGACGGTCAAGTGAAGCGCTCAGATCATCACATGCGGCGTGGAGGTTCAGAACGGTGCTCAGGCATGGAGAGCATTGGTGAAGCGGTTCGAACCTGCGACGGCGGTGAGAGCGCAAGGCATCAGAACACGCATCTTGCATGCGAAGCAGTTCCCATGACCGCTAGCAGAGTTCGAGGTGCACCACATGGACTGGGAGAAAGACAGACGGACATGCGAAACATCACCAGTGAAAATGGAAGTCGTCGTCAATTCGCGCGCGAAGAAAAACATAGGTTTACAGAAGGCGCCCAAGCACGTCTGGCCGGCCCCACAAATCCCGAGCGAACGGACGCACGAGAGGTTCGCCACCACAACGGTCCAGCGCCAACAGTAGAAAATTCTTTACGCTTCGCGTATCCCCACCAGCCCATCTCACAGCAACAACTCTTGCGAAGCATGCCGACAGTCGTGTTTTTCAGGCGTGTGTCCGCTTGGCCCCGCATATCTCCCCTGTTCCTCCTTCCTCCCGCCTCCTTGTACATCCTCCTTGTGGGGGGAGCGGGAGAAGGACGAGGCGGAGGAGGAGGGAGAGAAAGAGAGAAAGCGCTCCTCGTGATTTGAGTCGTTTGGGGTTTCTCGTCCTGGTGTGAGTCGTTCGGGCCCTTCTTCCTGGTGTGAGTCGTTCGGGCTCTTCGTGGTGTGAGTCGTTCGGGCTCTTCGTCCTGGTGTGAGTCGTTCGGGCTTCTCGTGGTGTGAGTTGTTCGGGCCCCTCATCCTGGTGTGAGTCGTTCGGGCCCCTCCTCCTGGTGTGACTCGTTCGGGCTCCTCGTGGTGTGAGTCGTTCGGGGCCCGCGTCGTGGTGTGAGTCGTTCGGGCTCCTCGTGGTGTGAGTCGTTCGGGCGCCTCGTCCTGGTGTGAGTCGTTCGGGCCCCTCCTTGTGGTGTGAGTCGTTCGGGCTCTTCGTGGTGTGAGTCGTTCGGGCCCCTCGTCCTGGTGTGAGTCGTTCGGGCTCCTCGTGGGGCCTCTTGGGGGCCTCTTGGAGCCTCTTGGGGCCTCTTGGGGGCCTCTTGGGGGCCTCTTGGGGGCCTCTTGGGGGCCTCTTGGGGCCTCCTCTGGGGGCCTCTTGGGGGCCTCTTGGGGCCTCTTGGGGGCCTCTTGGGGGCCTCTTGGGGGCCTCTTGGAGGTTTCTTGGGAGCCTCCTGGGGGCCTCTTGGGGCCATCTTGGGGCCTCTTGCGACCTCCTCAGAAGCGCAGATGAGCGCTGCCCCCTGAGAAGGACAAAATGAGCCCAACACCTTCATAAAATCAATGATTTTGCTATAAAGGAAGATGAGCGCGGCCCCCTCAGGAGTCCAAAATGGGGCCAAAAACCTAGTACAATCAATGTGTTTTGCTTCAACGACGAGCTCAGGCGCCAAACGGTCCCCCCCCCCTCGGGGCCAGAATCCTCGTGAGGGTCGTCGTTTTTTGGCCCTCCCAGGCGTCGAAAAAGACTCCCCTGACCACGCTCGGGACTCCCTCTCCAGGTCCAGGGGGAGGGGGTAGGGGGAGGGGTAAACCCCTCCCCGAAGGGGAAGAAGGGGGGTTGAGGACAGAGAGAGCTCGCTAAACCACTCACGCCCAAAGGGCTGGTGGGACTGTCTACTACGACGGATACCAGCGAGTACCACCACCACCACTACCGCAGCCAATGCCCAGGGACCCCAAACGCCATCGAGGTTGACGCGCTGACGAGGCCAAGTCAGCATGGAAAGCGCGGCGGCAAAGGCGGAAGCAAGCACGGCAGCGGCAAAGGGAGGGCATCGGACAACGGCGGCTAGACAGGAGGAAAGAAAGGAGACAAGGGTGGAGGCCAGAGTCGATCAGCAGATGGAATCGCGGCGATATTTCAACCGCCCTGGAGCACGTCGGCGTTACTTGGGCAGCGACTGCGCTACGCCTGTGAAGGTCGAGGCCGCTACTCAGTGGGGCCCTGGCGCCGAAACGGAAGCAAGAGCAACAAAGAGCCCAGAGGGATGGAGCAGGGTGGGCAGGCTTCAGTCAACCAGGTCACGAACGCGGACTCGCGGGCGGCCGCCAGTGCCACATTAGGCAGGTCAGCATCGTCACTGGGGCCCTCGGCGCGCAAAGCTGGATGGCAGCGCCAACGGGCCAGCGGCCCGGGCGGGTCGCGGCCGTCTCGTGCCCGGCGATGCCCGAGAACGAGCCCGAGCAGAATTGCATCTTCGCGGTCAGGAATCAGCAGAACACCCGCATCACGAGGCCAGAGGGCGGCGGGGGAGCACGCGGATGCCCGCGGGCAACTGCGCGGACGAGCACGCGCGCGGGCAGTGGGACATCCCGCGGCCCCCGCCCGCGGCAAGCAGGGGCCCGCAGCCCGCGGCGGCAGACGGAATCCCCTGAGACGCTGCAGATCGAAGACGCTGGCGCTCTACATCGCAGGAAATAGAGCGACCGCCATGAAGTTTCAGGTGGCAGACGCGAAGCGACCCATCATGAGCGTCGGCACGTTCTGCCGCGCGGCCCCGAGCAAGTTTGCGCGGCGCGGCGGGCGAGGCGAAATCCCATGACGTGAGACGGCGGGCTCGGTCTAGCTGAGCAAGATCAGCGATCGCCGCGCGCTGGGGCGCCGGGCACGACCGACGGCGGCCAGATCGCGACGGGGAGCCAGACGCCGGTGGCACCCGCGGTGTCGGCAGCCCCGACACCTCCAGGAGAAGCAGACGACGGGCGAGCAGCGCGGCGGGCTCTCGCGGGAGGGCCAGCCCTGGGAGCTCCGGCAGCAGGGGGACACGGAGCAGTTCCCCGACCAGCGGCGGCCCCTCGACCAGCCGCGGGGGCGCTCGAGGACGCGCCGATGGAGGGGCCCGCAGCGGCGCCAGACGACCGCGCGCGCCAGGGGGCCGAGGTGACAGCCCGAGGACACCAAGGCCCGAGAGCCCAGTGCAGAGGAGATCGATGGGACACGAGCTGACGCACCTCCCAGCGGAGGCCTGGCGCGATATTTGCGCGCGGGCGAAGGCGAGCGACGCGGCGCGCAAATGGGTATATGGGGGGGCGCCATCTCC